CAGATCACATTCATTAGTGTGAGCATTTTAATAATACTGCTTTTCCAATTGATGAACATAGGATATCTTCCATTTATTTGTGTCTTCTGAAATTTCAATGTTTTGTGGTTTTCATTGTAGAGATCTTTCACCTCATTAAAGTTATTCCTAAGTTAAATTAGTTAAGTTTTATTTAGTGTGATGATGGCAAATGAGATTGTTTCCTTTTTTGGATAGTTGTATGTAAAAACAATTAACTTTTGATGTTGACTTTGCAGTCTGTAACTTTACTGAATTTGTTTATTCTCTCTAAAAGTTTCATTTGGTGGAATCTTTAGGGTTTTCTTTATATAAGATCATGCCATCTGTAAATAGATAAATAGACAATTAACTTCTTTCTAATTTGAATGCCTTTTCTTTTTCTTGCCTAATTGTTCTAAGACTTCCAGTACTATGTTGAATAGAAGTGGTGTTAATGGGCATTTTTGTCCTGTATCTGATTTAGAGAAAAATCTTTCAACTTTTCCCTAAGTGTATTAGTGGGCTTGTCATATATGGCCTTTATTGTGTTGAGGTACATTCCTTCTATACCTAATGTTTTTAATCATGAAAAGATGTTGACTATTGCTGAATGCTCTTCTTGTACCTGTTGAGGTGATCATACAGTTTTGTTAATGTGGTGCATTGCATTGAGAGATTTGTGATGTTAAACCATTCTCCTGTTTTAAAAGCCTGAGTACACTAAACCATAAAGTTATCCTAAATATAGAAGTTCTCTGTGATTTAAAAGTCACTAAACTATTTCCAGAATTTTGTACTATAAAATTGACCAGTTATACTAACTAAGGATTTAAAAAGGGTTCTTTGTGTCCCACAATAGCAATATCCTTCCTTTATTGGGTTCTTTCTAGTTCATACAACACTTAACACGCATTAAATTTGATCTGCACAAGTCCAGACACTATTTGATTTCAGTCAAGACTAATAATTTACAATATCTGAGTTGCTTTCAACTTTCTCCTTCAATCATGAGCTTTCTTTTGCCCTTCCAATTTTAAGGACTTAGGAAAGATTATAGTAGTATAACGATTAAATTTCCTATGGAGGAAATTTTAAAACACTCCCTTATTTATTATGCATTTGTGCAGTTCATTTCTACTTACAGTTTTACTGTCATTATTTGCCCTCTGCCTAGCCATACAAATCTGGGTTGTGCTGAGGGCTGTGGAATCACCTAAGATGGACCTCTAGCCTACCAAAAGGACTCTGTTGCCTACATTTCTCTGGCTCTGATAAAATCATAAGGAAGTTGCAGCAGCATAACTAAACACATTCAAAGTATTGAAATTCAATCAATGAAATACCTCAGCAAACGGTGCAGAGTATCTTTCTGTGTAAACACTATGATATGTACTTAATATTTATAATATCACAGGAAAAATAAGAAATGTTTAGAGAAGATATAAATGTTTTGTGTGTTTGCAGGTTTTGGATGTATGAAACAAGTGTGTCACTGACAGAAAAATGTGGTTTTAAGTTGCATTGTAAGATCATGATAGCCTACTGTGCTTTCCTTTATATTATTATTATAGTTCCAATTCTGGTATGTTCACTTATGGACTCTTACCAAATTGCACCTATCCAAAGGTGATTTTTCATAGTGATAGAGGGACTAAAAACAATGTTTTATCAGAGGTGTTTGAAAGAACTAGGAACATTTAGCCAGAGATTTGAATACACATATACAAGAGGAAGAATTATTATTGTGTACTATCAATACAGGAAAAAATTAAGGCCTTTTTTGTTGTTCTTAAAGGCATATTTGGGCTCAGAATGAGAAAGAAATTGGATTCGTTCATGAAGGTTTTAAAGTGTATTGTTAGGAGATAACTTCTTATCAAGGTCCTCAACATTGGATAAGGTGTTCAATCAGGGTATGTTTGATGTCTTTCTCAAATTTGAATCTGAATCTTCATGTACACTAACTTATAAATCATGTGATTATACCTGTAAACAAAAATAAAAAGGGGGTTTGGCAAAGGGAATAATTTTTACAGAGCATCTACTATTCGAGTTGGATTGATGGCAGGATTTTGATTATAATAGTGGACACCTCAAGCTAACCAAGTGATTTAGTCATATGGGATTATAATTATTTATACTGCAATTTAACTATGAAAATAAAAGGTAAAGTTTTCCTTTTATCTAAAACTGACACAGCCTCTTTATGAAATTTCATTCATGGAGAAATAAGGAAGAAATAAAATGTGCTTTCAGTTTAATACAGGAAGAAGAAAACATGTTTTTTAGTATAATCCAGGAACCTGAGTCCAATCAGCATTTTAACTGGTTTCTTCAGGAAAAATTAAGTTTTGTTGGGTAAAAGGTCTTCAGTCTTATGATTTCCACCTTTGCTCACCCATCCTATCTTAGATTGTATCTGCAAATATCAGTAGAAGGGAGCTTCCATTACCTTGAGGCACTGGACCAGAGTTAATACATTTAAATGCTAACTTCTGCTTCCTCCCATGTCTGAAACAACACCTCTTTATATGCTTAGTTGCTTCTGTTTTTTCACTGAAGTTGTAGCTACAGAATTCATGGTCTGTGATTTCTCAGTTTGGTCTGGTAGCTCTCTCCAACTGATGAATCCCTTATCTTTGGTATTCAGATATCCCTGGTCTGGAAAGTCTACCTCATAGTCTTTGTAAAAGGATCATCTTGCTCTTTTAACATCAGGGTTCATGGCAGGTATACTAGTTCTCGACTCAGCTATCTCTGAGTACAAAGGAACTTTTAGCAGTTAAGGAAAATAAACTCCTGCCCTTCCTCTGCCTAATTATAATGCCCTGTTCAAAGTCCCTTCAATGTGGTCTCTGATTAACTTAACTAGGAGACATCCTCTCAGATGTCTGAGAACTGGAATAGAATTTTATTGTCCTTTCTTCCCCCATATCAATCTGGATATTCTAAAGCCACAAACCCTGATACTACATCCTCATGGTGGGAATTAATGAAATGTTTTTGGTTGCTTTCCTATAGCTCTTCTAACCCCTTTCCATAATTCTGTGAACCAAAGTAGAATTTTCTTCTACTTCTTTCTTCACAGTCCTCATCTTCCTTATATCAGTATCTGGGTGAAACCATCAAAATGAACTTGGATAGCTTGGAGAAACTCATCATTTGGTCCACCAGATTTAGCTTAAGACAAAATCATTTTAGAGATTTCCCTGATAATTCAGACCTGGTTATTACTCCTATATACACTTCTATACTCTCCCATACTCCCTGTTTCTTAACATCCATAATCTACTTTTTAAATATTTTTATTTCCTGATAGATGTGGCTCCAAATTTCCACACCTAGTATATTGTCCTGGACATAGTAGGTGATTAATAGGTATTTGTAAGAGTTCTAGTTTTAATTAGATGCATGCTATATTTCTCAGTTGTGAATAAGTAACTATCCTAGTTTACACACTTCTATTTTGAGATTTGTAAATTTAAGAATACTCTGAAAGATGAACCCACTGTGGTTGGACTGGTATCAATTTCTAGATCTACAGAGCTAGACTTTTGAACACAGGAAATTTACCAGTAACTACTATCTTGCCATATTTCTTGGTAGATAATAATTTACCCTCTCCTTAGAGACACCCCCCACTTTAACACGTTTTCAAACATCAAAAAGAAGATTCATTTTCATTAACATCTAAGTTCATAACGAGGACGTTTCACTTTATGATACCTAATTACCTTTCACAGATTTTTACCAAGTTGCAATTATGCCAAGCTTTGTCACAGGCGTATTTTACCTAAAGCTGATCCTTTCATTTTATGAGGCTTCAATTAGTTAGATTTAGTCATGTTATGGCTAAAGTGATGTGACTAGAAAGGGTAGCATGTATCAATCTACATGTAAATTATTTATTGGTTAACCTTTATGTTTGAAATTAGAAAATCAATGAAAGGAAAGTAAATTTCGAACACCACAAAAGGTGGTGGCACACTATTTTTGACTGCAACATAGCAGTCAAAACCTAAAACCTACTCCAAAGAAGCAAATGGGAAGAGAGGTCAATTGGCTGTAACCTACAACTACTTTCAAAAAATTGCACAACTACTAAATGCACTGCAAAATTTTAAGTGCTACTGAAAGCAATGGGCATACAAGTTTAGGGTCACCTGAGGAAACACAAGCCATTCTTCATTTTCTATTGTAGTGACGGTTCCTTCTACTCGAGACTAGGTGCTGCTCCCATCCCCACCCGCACCCCATTAGCGGCTAGAACAATGGCCCAGCGTGAACATTTCCTATCATTTATCCAATGGAGGAATAAAGCCTGACCGCAAGGAGGACTGGTAAGTAGCTGTCACCCTGAAGCACGTCGTCTGCTGCCTTTTCTGTACGCTAGCTGGCAACTTCTCATTCCCTGTTTTTTCTAGCAGCATTGGGTCCTGTCTGCCCTCCCTCAGCTGGTCTAAGCAGTCCCTGAAGCCCTCCACTCCGCGGGTAACCCGCTCACACTTGCAGCTCTTTCTGAGCAACATCCCAGCCGGGTCTGCAGGGTGCGAGCAGCGAGCGGACAGGGATCCTGAGGGGGGACCGGCAGCCTGCTGGCGTCGACACCCCAATACAAAGGGTCTGGGCCATTACTTTTCCAATCCTTGACAACCAACCAACCTGCACGCCCTCGCCTCCCCGTGCAGACGCCTCATCTCCGCTCGTCACTGTGAAAAAGCCAAGCCGCCATCACTACAAGAACGCGAGGCGAACGCGCAACGCGTAAAGCGGCGCGCACCCCCCTTCCTCTCCCACCCCTCTTCCCGCGCGCTCCGTCGTCCGACGCCTCACACGCGAGGTGGCCGGGGCCGTGGCGCCAGGGCAGCCGGGGCTGCGCGCGCGCACGTCGAAGGGCGGCGGGGGAGGGGCCGCCGCGAGGCCGGCAGGTTGGGCGCGTCCTCCCGCGCGCGTGCGCGCCCCTGCCGCCAGCCTCACGTTCCGCGTGCGCCGCGTCCCCTCCCGCCGGGAGCGCGCGCCTCCCGCCCTCGAGCCGGGTCCCGCTGGTTCTCTTCAGAGCCGCACACTCCCCCGGAGCTCCTGCCACGGCCGGCACCTCGGCCGCGGCTCCCCAGCCCCGCGGCTCAGCTCGGCTCCTCAGCGCCCGCGTCCCAGGCCCTCTCCCCTCTTAGTCACTCCCCATCTCTCTCTTTCCCGCCCTTCTCACCCACCCATCCGGCCCGCCGCCGAGCGAGCTTGGATACGAAGCAGGCGGGCTTGAGAAGGGGGTTGGAAAAATGGAGGTGCCGCGCCTGGATCATGCCCTCAACAGCCCCACCAGCCCTTGTGAGGAGGTGATCAAGAACCTCAGCCTGGAGGCCATTCAGCTGTGCGATCGGGACGGTAAGAGCGGCGGGGACCCCGAGGAGAGGGGCCAAGCCCGCGCCAAGGCACCGTGGCCGCTCCGGCCCCGCCGACGCCGCCCGCTCCGTTCCTCTCGGGGGCGCCGGCGTCTTTTGTCGTCCCCCCTTCCCGTATGCGAGTCCGGCAGGTGTGGCCCCCACGTCCGCCCCTTCACCCCAGAAACAAAGAACCCCGGGCTTGCGCCTGGGCCCTCCCACCCCCGCGCCACCTCGGTCCCCTCGACCCCGGCCTGGGAGCCGTTGGCTGTCGCCCGCGTCCGCTGCTGCCAGGACCGGGCGCTTGCGATCTTTGCCGCAGTCCGGGTGTCCTCGGTGTCCCCGCACCCGAAGGGGAGATGCCCCCGCCACCACCGGCACACACGCACTCGTTAGTTAGCATTCGGTGCCTGGAAACTTCTCGGTGAGCCTCCCCTCCTGAGCCCCCGCGGTGAGAAGTCTTTCTGTCCGCGGGGCTGAGCGCCGCAAGTGCATTTCAGCACCAAGGACAGACACTGGCTTCGCGGGCGCCGGCTCTGTGGTTCACACGCTGCTGTGCACCTGAAAGGATTGGGGTGCGCACCATTGTGTGCGGGCATCGCATCGCGCGGTGATCCTATTGTTAAAGTTGAGGCCCCCGCGGGAGGGCGGGCGCTGACCGCCCGAGCGTTAGCGGCTTAGGCTGCGCGCCCCGTGGGTAGTTAGAGCCTTGTCTGCTGGTGCTGGTGCTGCCAAGCGGAGCATCAGTGCCCTTGAGTAATGCGAAGGAAACTTCATTTGTAAAGAAGTCGCCTCATTGCCAGGTCATTGTAAAATTCTGCGGTTGACGAGGGAAAACCCGGCTACATGCTGTCAAGGAGACCCTGGATATTTATGGCTATAATTGAAAAATGTTTGACTATGTATCGACGTAATGACTGTAAAGATTTTTGTTCAAAAGTTATGTAGAGATATTAATATGTTCACGGTGGGGTCATAAAATGTATTAGTGTAACCCATATAGGGAGCAGAGGTCGTGTTTCTGAAGTCATTTCAATGGTAATAACTTGCTTAGGTATTGCTATTCAGTATAGTTTAAGTCAAGTGAGCACCAAATTACTTTTAAAAAAATTTAGTATTTATTAACACTACAAATTTATATGCAATAATTTTGAAACCAAAATTCAATGTCTTTGAAACCAATGAGACATTAAATAAATATTCTTTGCAAAGACTGCTTATATTTCCTTTATCAGTGGACTGTTTGGGTCACCGTAATAGTAAGTGCACATATTTGTGCTATCTATCTAAAAAATTCATCATTTTGGATTTTAATTTATACTTTCAAATAATGATTTTGTAATGTTAGCATCGTAAATTCTGAGATTGGTTCGAGAGACAGCCAAGACTCTCATAAAAGCAGATTTGGTTTTTATTTACTTCAATGATTTATCAAAAGCTCATTCTTGCGATAATGGGAAGTAGGTAATTCATTATTGCTACTCACAGCTCAGTAATCTCAGTATATAAAATTGCCTTCACCACATTTCAAAGATAATAGAAAAATAAAAAATTTTATGAAGTTTACAGACTTAATGTAGAATGCAAAATTAATGCTGCATTTACTGTGTTCTCTTCTGTTAGAGTAGTAGCTATTTTACTCTGCTAGTATTTTTTGGTTGGTTGTGTTCACATGAATCCTGCAAAATGAGCAAATTATTTAATGGGAGTTGAAAGCACTAAGCAGTATCTATGAAAATTATTATTTGTATGTCTCCGATTGACCAGACTAATCAGGTTTCAGTTTATAAAATTGCTTATACCAACAATACAAAGAGCTAAGTCTTCAATTAGAAAATCTATAAAACCTTGGAAAACTGGTATTAGAGAAGTTGTTAAATGCTTAACTCTTTTTTTCTTTGTGACAGTACCTTATGTGTCAATTCCAAAAACATTAAGTTGTCTTCATGGGACTAAATTAGAGGAGATAATATAGTTGTTTTTACAGAACAGTTTATGAAGTGTTGAATTAAATTTGTCAGCCAGACCTTACTTATCATCGTTTTATATTGAATAATTTTCAGTGGGCTATTTGCTCCTTTCACTTCTTTCACTTTCTTCCCTTTCAGATCTCATTTATTTTACTTTCATAAATTTATAGCGTAGTAAGGCAAGGATGTGGCAAAGAATGTGGCAGAAGATAAATTTATGTGCCCAAGTACATAGCAAGAGCTATTATTTTCATCATTTTATGGTCATAGAAACACATTTGTCTTATTTGCTCTTTACTTTCTCATTTTATTTTACTGTACTAATTTGGTAATGAAAAAATGGGAGAAACATAATTTCTTTGAAGTGGAATAAAGTACAGCAGAGAAAGTATAATATGATTGTTAAATGTACATTCCTTTTACCCTCTGTACAGATGTTTTAAATTTTGTAATGTTTTACATATTGTGTGAACTAAAAACTATAGCTGCTGGTGAACATAACTGTATGTCTCTCATGTTTTCATGGTCTCCTCTTTTGTTTTTGTCTGTTCCTTGCCATTTTCTTATAAATTGATGTTCACAGTATTAGTATCAGTTCACAGTGGTTTTTTTTCCAGTTTCTCAAAGTATTTAGTAGTCTTGAAGAATATAAGTTACAGTTCAAGTGATCATGTAATTGGATTTTTAATTAAGTAAAGGGGTTCTTATGAACATAAATTACTATAAGTAGTCTTAGGCCTGTATATTTTGTTGCTAATGCATTGGCCCTGACTGGGACTTACTTGTAGTTCAAAGTGAAGAAGATTCTGGATTGATTGCTACTAGTAAACCTTTGGAAGATGTACTGTAGATCTAGGGGATTCTATTAATACCTTTGGCAAGTAGGAGAGTATTTCTGCTGTGCTGATGTATACTCAAGCTGCATACACAATGTACTTTCATAATGACTTTTCAAAAAATTGAAGGGGAGAAACAGTTTTTCAACTGGAAGCATCAGTAATATAGGAACCCATTTCCACTTTCTTTGTGTAGTTGCTTGAGGTGTTTCCTGACCTGTGACAGAACAAAGTAACTTCCCTCACCTCAGAATTCTGTGTTACTTCTGTTTCTCTTTATTTTTTCTTGTTGAAAGGAAAGCTTTATCTACATATTGACATACCCATATCCACATTCCCTATATTCTTGTTACGGTAAGATAGAAAATACAAAATTAATTTGTTTTATAGTACTAATATCAGCCCCAAGGCTTCCTACCTTTAGCAATATTATTTCTATGAAGTAGGGCATTTCGTGGCTGCCTGGGTATGGTTTACGAAGTTTATCGTGCTAGTCAACAAGGGAATACATTTTAAAGAAATTACATAGACAAACAGAGATTTCCCTGTCAGTTCCCGGTCTTTGTCTCTAACAATAGTTCTATGTTTCTTTGTTTTGCATATTTAAAAAAGAGATTCATTTAAATATTGACGTTTTCATTTAAATTATAAGTCAGTTGGGACCTCCTTATTTATGCTTATTGACATGTGAATTAAACACATTTTATCTTTGGAAACTTAAAGTAACCCAAATGCTTAGTAGCACAGTGCCATGTTAGATAATTCTTAATAACATTTTCTGAAACAAAGAAAGATCTAGGAAGAATACTTACTTTTAATGCCTGTTGCAAGATTGTAAGGTAGTCATTATTAAGTCTTACTGACATACAATATAGCATACTAGTAATACCATTTTAGATCGGATGACCTCTATTAGAATATTGACTGGATAGCCATGTAATCTTAGGCAAATTACCTGTTTTATCCTGAGGTTTTTTCATGTAAAATGGGTATAATAATGTTAATCCTGTTATTTGAAATAATAAAATGAAGTATTTGTACAGCATATATTACAATTCTTGATTCAAAATACAGTAATAACTACTGCAAATGGAATATTATTCACATACTTTCTTGTGTTCATCTAGTACTTTTTTATCTCTATTTTTGCCAATATTTAAATCTTTGTTGTTTTTCATAATTCCAATTTTGTGTTATTAGGAAATCACTTCAACTCACAACTATAAATTAAGAATTTTAAAAGAACAATAAATTTAAAGTTCACAGTTGCAGTACTTTTATCACTTATTTCTGTTTTGTCATTCCATTACTAATATCTTTGTCAGTCTTAGTCCTAAAAGCTGTTTTCAGCTTCTAGTTCAAATCTGCTATTAGCTGCTTTTCATGTGTCTTGTGACCTTATAAGTCAGTGTTTGCATCATAACCTTTCCCTGTTCTTGCAGAGAATATTTTTCTTTGTGACTTCTTTCTAAGGATACGTCTGCACTAAATCATGACGTCTGGATTCATTTCTTTGACTCAGATACGATTAAAGATACTGTAAATTTTCACTAGTGATCATAGAACAAAATAAAATCTAAAACAAAAAGTTTGAGAGCCATCAGATTATATTAAGACAATACATATTCTTCGTGGGGTTCTAATTCATTCCCAGGAAGACCAAGAAGTTATTAGAGGGAAAGTCACATCAAAGGATATGTGACCAGACTCCCTCCAGTGGTAGAATGACTGATATGTCTTAAGTAGTAACACTGGCAACTTGCTGTGCTGCCCAGGTAGGCCAGTCAGAAATCTGTTCCATATTTAGCATTATTTAGACAACTTCCAAGTCAATTAATTTTTGTCTCCATTAATAGTTCCTCCTCATTTAGGCCAGTCTTGATATTTTTCCACTTATGTGAGTATACTTTCTGGTCTACTTTTATATTCTATATTGGGCTTCAGTAATAATAGCAGTTCTCTTTCACTTTTTGCAGCAAACATAATTCTTCTAATTTCTGGTTTCCATTATCTGCCCTTAGTAGATACATAACTTTAAATTTTGTATAATATGCTTCTTTCTTGTGTTTATTTTCCATTTTAAATATATCTGTAACATTTTTATACTTTATTGAAGTCCTTTGTTACTACTCTAATACATTCGTCTCATTCTTTAACTGTTCAAAATATTTTGTTATTAACAGACAGTAGTTAAGCTG